ACACTGATGGATCGTCCATGCAAGACACTGTTGCTGCTCTACCCACCCACCCGAAGCCTCCAACCGGCGTCCATTGGAAACACGCTACCTTGTCTTGCAGGGAGCATGCGCTGTTCTAGTTACCATTCCTGAAGACTTCCAACTTCGATCCAAAAGCTTCTGCAAACCATTAACATGTAGAGGCTAAGTGAGCCTAAGATGCATTCCTGAATTGCGCTGAGACTTTTGTTCTGGTTCACCTGTGGATGTTTTGGGATAGGTACCGAAATTGTTTCTCTAAGATGACTGAAAAAGAGAACTTGTGACCATCTACTGGATCGGACCATGCCATTTTCTCAGGTAGAGTGCTTGTGAATCACATGACATGTGGAATCGGAGAAAACAAACAGCATGGTACTGTAAAATTCAATCATATGGTAGAAGTCTGACCATTATTGGATCTCTGTGGTCTCAAGGGCTAAATGTAAATGCATGAAGTCTGGTGTGTCCCATTATCAGCAACAATTGGTCAAACACGATACTGTAACTGTTTTTTAGATGCCTGGTCATGGGTCCTAACCATCATCCATTGGCCCTGGTCATGGGATCTACTGAATAAATGATCAAGATTAAGATGCCTAAAGTTGATTGAAATTATTGTCGTTACATCGAAGAATGTGCCGCTCACAGCGCTCCCCTCTCTTAAAGAAAGCTGGGCGAACCCCCAGCTGCAGAAAGAGTATGGGGGCCTATGGCTGTCCGCCTGGATGACGGGATATACAGTGAATCCATCAAAGCGGCAGATATATTCGGGTCTGAAGTCATGAATCTATTCATATCACAGCTTCTTGAGGACCTCAACCAGGTTGCCGGTCTTGGAACACCAAACTCATCCAAGTCACGCCCCATGTTTCGCCACTAGGGGGATCGGTCTTGGGCCGGTTTTTTGATCTGAATCACGTGGATCCAGGACTGGACCAGTCAGATATGGACACCGCCCGACATTCGCCAGGGCTGAGCAGCTGGAAGGTCGCCAGGAGGTCTGAGGCCTCTCCCAATCCCCCGGCGTTCGGTGGGGGCGGATTGGGGTGGTGTAGCCAAAGCGTAGAGATGAGCCTATACATTTGGTTTTGCGGATTGGGTGATTGTTATTTTCCCGAGCAGGATGGGTAAATGCCCTGCCAGGGGAGGGAGCCAGCCCCAAGGCGAATCTTTGAAAGGGGAGGGATTCTGCAAATGGCAGAAGGTTCTTTGTTGAGGTATGTTGAGGGCCTTTGACTTTTTTGAATACACAAAAACAAACAAATACTGACGAAGCAGACGGACCACACATAATTGGAGAGGGTTTTGTGGGGGACCTCCATAATCTTTATAAAATGGAGATCAGTTGTTGTGAGTATTGCGGAGCAGAGTTGGACCAAGTTATTTATAATTCGCACCCCCCAAGAGCAAAATCATCCAACTTCCCTTGCCACGTGGTGCCTTGTGATGCCTTGTGCATGAATTCAAGTCAAGCTTGTCCCCTCCAATTTAGTCGAGCTCCAAACATACCCCCTGACAAGAAACATCATCGACTTGATGCCTTGGTCCACTCGACTCATTTGGAGTCTGTTTTCGAATTTTGAGGACCTCGCCACCCGACGACCCCGACGATACTGAGACGACCCCAACACCAACACGAGACGAAGTTGAAGAGGCTCCTCTCCCAAGAGTTATCCAAGGCGATTCATAGCAATTCCCTTTTTTGGAGGAGCCAAGGTATGATACTGATCTTGGAGAGCCTGTAGTGTACAACAACGCTACCACGATTCTGCCAATTTTAGTCCAGTCACACTGGGGCGCAGTGGAAATGGAGGCCGGCCTAGGGTTTTCTTTCGTCAGCCTTGGTTTTCTTGCGAGAAGGAGGTCGGTGGATCGGTCGGGCGACCGGCTTTATGGTCCTACAAAGGACAAGTGCACCTGCTTGGAGCCTCCTATAGGTTGACTTTTGGGTGTTTTGGGGCTCAGAAATTGTTTCCCAAGAAAACGGATACCGCAGAAATATGAGAAATGGACTCTTGATCATGGTCGATCGGGTGGTGTTTGGTTTCTGGAAAATCAGCTTCAGAGGTGGATCTATCAGATAAAGCTGAGAGTGCTGCGAGAAGTGACCTGACCGCAGGCCATGCCGTGACCCAATGCCACATGATGAGCTTAGTTGATACGCCTGCAGCAGGTGTGATCACCTACGGCGAGAAGCTTGTGAGGTGACCAAAGTACCTTTCCAGTTACCTTTGTGGTAGGTAGCAGGCTAACAAGCCAGAGAAACATGGTTTGAGACGTCCCAGATACATTAACTGTATAGAGACAAACTTCAATGAAAGTTATGCATAGAGTGGTCATGAGAGTCGTGAGAAATATATACTGTAGGTGCTGACAGAATCTCGCCAGGCTTCTCATGGTGATGAGATAAGTATGGACATGTACTTTTAAGCTGTAAGGCTGTAAGGCTAGGTCTAAGAATGGATCGTGTCCACTCATCAAATCTTGGTGACCTTGCACACACACAATGTACTGCTGTACAAGTTTCGTAAAGACGAGGGACGAGGAACATGCAAGGGGTAAAACAAAGCGTGTTGATCAAAATTCATTCCCTTAGCTGCCTGACAGCGGTACAATGTTCAAAAACGGACCAGCTACTGTACGTATTTACTTCCTCTAAATGGCTTTTGGATCTCATGAGAGCTGTGCCACCCCTCCCGCGCGCAACGCAATCTCTCCTCTCAAACTTGATTGGTCAGATACCGTTTGAGCGTGCGAACTCAGATCGTGTATGCTAGTGTATGATGGACCATCCTACAACTGCCCATTTGTATCATACCACTGGCCATTTTTGATAGTGTATGATAGTGTACAATTCGCAGTTGAAGTCAGTCATCGTACCTGGTCACAAGCTGATTGGTTTCTGTTTTGGTCGCGAGATTGACTGAGCTGACGGGACCTCGCCGTGCTTGTAGGGTTTAGGATCACAACTTGCCACGATTGAAACATTGGGGAAGTTCTCACGCCAACTACTTGGTGTACAGAAATTCTGCAGCTGGATGGATGTTGGATGAGACACATCTTAGCTTTTCTTGGGATGTGATGAGACACATCTGACACCGATTTGCAGACCCACGGAACTTCTCGGCATTTTCTCCTTCTTTTTGTGAGGTTTGGCCAACAATCCGTGTTTCACGGTCCAGTGTTGCTGGACATTCTCCTGCACAGGTATACTGCATTGCGATAATGACCTCAAACCTTCATGAACATCCATATGAACAAGTGGATTTGGATTGTTTTTTGGTGCTGGACCCTCGCAGAAGCTTCAACAACATTGGGCACGAAAGAACTCCGATGCTTCGAATCTTGTGGCTGTGACAAACACCGGCGCAGAGATCTGTAGCGGAGGAATCGGCGGAAAGAGACCATTGATTTCGTTCCTTTTGGCAAGACCTTCCATGGAGCTTCAGCACCACCACAACTGAAGAGCCCGAAGGCCCAGCTGGTGGCTTTGGCAAAGGATGGTGAATGCAGACAAAAGGCCTCTGAAGCTGCGGGATTTGGGACCCCTTTGCCAAATCCTGTGGCTTTGAGGGGGTGGGGTGTGCACAGGGGCTGACCACAGACTTGAACAGCAAGTGAGCTGTGTTTCCATCGTTGCTAAGCCCTGCACGATTGCTGTGCCTTGTGAACTGCATGGATTCCACAAGAATGAATAGGCAACCGTGTCCAGCCACTTGATTTAGACACTCTTTGCCGCTCCCCTTGATGATGAAGGTCGAGGCCAGATGCAATTTGTTCAGAAACAGGCCCACCTGTTCATGACACGTGGACTCCCATTCGCTATCGATGGTTCCATGCAGGTGGGCAGGGTCAGCTTGCGAACGCATCGAATCAAACCAAAACATAGAACATCAACCCTTGGAGGGAAGACACCGCTACAGAGTGTTAAGGGTATATGTTTGCATGGATAAAACCTCTTACCCGTGGTTAAGGTAGAGGGTTCCTATGGTTAAGTCCCGGCTTGCCGCGTGCTTATGTGAAAGCCTCCGACGAGGCACAGATGGGTCACAATGTGTTGTCCCAGATAGAGCCATATCATAGCCAGTACAGGTTTGTGCATCGATTTGTGGATGATTTGTTTTGTCAGCCGATCCCTTTGCTCTATCTCTCCGCCCAAAGACGAGCCTTGGCCGAGCGACTCAGCCAAAAGAGGGTGTGTGAATGACAGGACGTCGTCGGACGAACACATGGCAATTTGCCGGCTCTTGGCTGGAACCTGATTTGGACCTAAACAACGTTCATTCAGACTGACTGGGACATGCTTGTGAGATATGAGTCATGGCTGTCCCATTTTTGTCTGCTAAGCCTGGTTCCAAACATGGGATCTTATGGGACAAACTTAAGCCCATCCTCTTTGTGTTTTTCTATTCCTGGACATTGGCTTCAGCCTGTAGATATGATGGCCCCAAAACTCCATCTATAGCAAAGTACTGCTGATCGGTGGAGGCCTAAAACATCGGAACCACCGGTGACCGGTGCTTTGCCGGGGCCTTTTTGTTCCGCGAACGACCGGTGTTGGACATCGGGCGCCTGATGGACATCGGGCGAACAAAGACACAAGTCATGTGGACGCAGGTTCCGAAAGAACCATCAGGGTTGCAACGGGTTGCAAGAAAGCAGGGGTTGGACATTTAAATTTTGTTTTTTGGGTTGTTTTGTGACCTGAGCCTGAAACCCCAAAGTTACTGTAATCTTGAGATCCCAAAGTCGGTCGCTTCGATTTTTTTGAGCATCTAAATGGCAGGGTTTGGTTGAGTGTGTGGACTCTAATCAAATCCCTGTACAAGTCAACCCTTTGAGAAGGTAGGAACCGCATGTGACAACGAAAGACTATGAATCAATGATCGAATTTGCTCCTCTAAATCGTCCCCAATTCTGCTTCAAACCCACCCAACCACAACTTCAAACAGAAGCCCGAACAAACACTCGATGAAACGGTGACCAAACAGCCGGCATTTGTTTTTGGTTTGCATCTGCATATCGAAGTCTTGCGCGCCATCATGGAGCTGCATGAAGCGTGGGAGCGCCTTCCGCGCCGGCGCAATCCTGCTGAGCCTGGGGCTGATTGGGTGACTCAGCTTGAAGACTTCGGGGTCTTTGGTTTTACACAGGTCCTTGGTCCACCACAACCTCGGATGCTTATAGAGTGACGGTGGATGTCTTTCCCAGGAAGTCCGACGGGCGAACCTGCGAACAGGGACAACAAGAGAAGACGGTGGTGAAAAGCGGGAGTTAGAGAAGTTACAATAGTTATACAGTAACTAAGTTACAACTTGTTAAGGTAACTCTGAAAGCTTAGTTGTAAGTATAGTGTATTTCTTCCGACACCACGCCCAGCACGCCAACCTTTTTACAAGTAACTTAAGTTGGCAGCTTAGCAATTTGCATGTAGAGATAGATGTTTCTGAAGCACATGTGCCGCAGAAGAGATGGTCACAGCACATCAATGGTGTTGGGTTGTCATGATAGGGAAGAACACTGCATGGCAGAGGCAGTCATTGATTCACTCCTTCCAACTCCAGTGGAGTTCCTACTCCGCATTTGGACAAACTGTAAGAAGTGAACGTTGAACTACGTATCCTTCGAGAAACAAACATAGCAACTCCCAGAAGCGGTTACAAAGATTGCTAATGCGTGTTTACTTGCCTTAACATGACGATTGTTTGGCGAAAAATCAGCTCTCCTTCTACCAGGGTTGATGTAATGGCAGGGCCCCCCTCAAATATCAATCAAGACTCGACCCTTCCAGGATCTTCATCTTCCCAAGAAATCCATGGTAGGACCCACCAAACCGTCCACACCCTTGGTCAGGATCGAGCACCCGTCCACGCCCGTTCGGCGACCCTGCTACCCTTCCATCGTACGGTCCATCGTTACTTCCGACGATCGGTCGCAACGATAGGCTGATTTCTCAAAGAGATGCCCTGCATGGCTTCCACGAGAACGAGAACGATCAAGTGGTGGATGCGGCGAGCCCTTACGGAGTCGTTGACACGATGCTTGGAGAAAGGAATGATATCTGAGTTGAGCACATAGATTTATACGTATATATATATATCATGTCTGTGTATATATATATATATACACCAGCTATATATACCTAGAATCCAGACTGGACCTCTGCTTTGATAGGACAAAACCATGTCTTGGCTCCAAAACAGGGGTCAATCAGGTTCTAGGTATATATATATGATTATAATGTACATATGTGTGTCATACTGTTTACCAAACAACTCAAAAAATTGTGCATCCTCAGAGATGTAGTAGTGTTCCATGAGTCAACGGGCCGGATGATCCTTTGGGCAACCGTGTTTCTTTTTTCACGTTGCTGCCAGCTCGAGCCAGCGTCGCAAGCGGCGAGTATAGGTTTTCTTAGAATCGACTTCAAACTCAATAATTTTCAGAGTTCTTGTTCAGTGGAAAGGTCTCTGGGTGCAAGCAGAATGTCCAGTTCTGGATTCAGCATGTTTTTCTCCACATGTTTACTGATATCCTTACCCATGAATTGAAATAATTTGAGAACAATCATCACACTACAACAACATCACACCAGCGTGTTTTGGTCACCGTTTTCCGACGTTCCCAAGGACAGGGTTCATCTCTCAAAGAGATGCTGTGGACGCCAAAGTTCGCGTCGAGGGGCTGGAAAACGTGTCAGACACGATGCTTGGCAAAGAGATGTCGAGAAGCTTGCAGTGTTATACCTTACCAACTGCTTTGGTTCAATTGGGTATGGCAGTTGTCGTCATAACATACCAGCTTGCGTTGTTTTACCTGTAACAGTCGGATTTCACAAACAAGCTAACCAATTCTTAGAGATATGGATGTCGGCCTGCAACGTTCTCATCGTGGACCCATATAGGCCCTGGTAGACTCGGATAAACCCCAACCATACCTTGGGTCTGTCCGTTCTTACTTGTAACAGTCAGTAAACAATTATCACTCTTTTGGGACAAAGCCTCTACTAACCATCACCATCCACTGTTATTGTACAGGTAGACTCGGATAAACCCCAACCATACCCGTGTTTTGCCCAAAGGGAGCCTCACAGACCAGACCAAGTGGGTTTAGGTTCGTCAGATCCAGAGGTTCTCGGTTGCCTCTCCCGTGGTGATTGGGGGGAGTTTCATCATTTCAGCCCATTCTCATGGTGCATCTGGACATGGGAACCTCTTCGCCCACCTAATCTCACCCATCTCCTTTCGGATGTTTCGTTGAGAAATCACTCGGGATTTCCACTTCGTGGAGCATTGGATTTCCGCTCTCCGCAAGTGACGTAGCTTGCGGAAGTTGTACCTTTGAGTTTGGGGACGAACTCAAGAGCACTCATGTGTGGTTATATATACTTCTTTGCCTTGTCGCATCTTGTTTTTCTTGCTGCTCACGAGCCAAGCCGCCTCCCTGGGTATCCACCAAACCTTTGCAGATTGTTGTCGCTGGCTTTGGGCACTGGGGCCTCTGGTCAAACGGAGCCCATTGAGGGTTACCCAATTTAAGCTCAGTTGGTTGATTGAGGTGATTGGGCGAATGGTCTTGGGTGCGTGGGCTGGTTGATTTGTTTCTTTGAGTTGCTTCTTTAGTTTTCCAACTTTTACTATTCACCCTTTTCCTTCACAGGGTGAGCCAGGACCTTTCCCCTCGTTTTGAAGTCTTCCCGTTCGATCCTTGGATCAGCCATGTGGCAGGGAAAGCCTTCTTAGCAAAGACAACTTGCTGCGTTTTCAAGTTTTTAACACAAAAGGCCAAAATCAAGAAACGCATGGCAGTGATAGAAAGGTGCACAGGAACTCCTTGGCCATGTTTTAGAAGGTGCTTTGTCCTCCTCGGTCATGTGTCCGAAGCTGCCACGAGGAGGGAGCCACTTGAAGTCACATCTTCACCACCCAGAAAGCGACTGGGAGGCACAAGTTTGGGTGCAACAGCCGGCGCAAACAGTGAAGGGGATGGGTGCTTGGAAGGATGTTGAGTCGAGTGGGAAATGGTGAAAAGGTATGATCTCCCACTTATACCCTCATGGCCTTGATGCCAGCATGTTTGTGCCACCACACGCTGCACAAGCAAGTTGTGACCAAATTCTTGCTTCATGCAGTGAGGGTCCCAACAAAAAGGTCTCAAAGATTCTCAAAGCCTCTCAAAACCTGTGCAGCCTGGCGCCTCGCTAGGTGTGGAGGCCATGCAGAACTTCTTCCATGAGCTTTGCGATCTCACGACGAGGCCCCCGGCCCGGTCGCGCCGGGCATCCGAACGGGTCGTGGCGACCTACCTCCACCACAAGCTCCGCGTCAGCTCGGCCACGACCTTGGGACGGTGGCGACCTACCTCCTCTGCACTTTGGATCCCATCATATCCCACCATCATCTTTGCTGGGATGGACCAACTACCCACCAGTGACGTTCGCAAGCGGACTCTTGGACTGTTTGGTGCATCCGGGTGCAGGTGAACCGACAAGTCCTGCATTTGAGTGGACATGTAGACTCACGGACCTTGTCATCAGAAGAACCTCCTCAGTGAAACCCGGGTGAAACCCTACAAAACGATCATTTTGAACCCGTAACCCTACCAATACCATAGGTTAGAAGCCCTGTAAAAACCGTGTAATGCAGACTGTTGATTCATACAACCCACATATGAGGAAGTATTAATAAGTTGTTTTATTGAATATAATCAACAGTCTACATTACAGGAATATAGCTATATAGCACATGTGCACTTGATTTGGTGAAACTCATAGCTCATGCGAAGACGAGGCTCCTGCTAGCAAACCAGAAGTGCTTTCTACTTCCGCTTCCACGTGAGTCAGAGTGCTCTCTTAACTTAGTTAGGATTCAGTGTCCATCCTCATGCCCGCTTTCTGATGGGTGCCAATCTTGCCACTGCGGAACTTGCCCACCTCGAAGAATGGCATTGTCATTAGTACTCCAACCTCACAGCCGTGTGCAGATCAAACGGCTGATCAAATCCCCAACATTAGAGAATGGAAGTGGACATCTCTCATGTCCTGTGTTTTTTTTCCCAAGCAAAAAAGAGAATCAACCCACTCAACCCATGTGGACGGTCGTCACTGGTCGGTCCCGTGGTCTCTATCAAGGAACGCCGTCTCCGGTCCTCCTCACGTGTCACGAAGCCGTGAAGCCGTGAACGCAGCGGTTTGGGCCAGGTTGGGCCTCAATCGCAGCGGTTTGCGCCACGCCTCCCTGGAGCTGCGAGCACGTCAGGGGACCCAGGTGGTACGGTGTAACAGGCACTGGCCAGCAGGTTTGGTAGAAACAGCCATGAAAGAAACAGGAAGTTGGGTACCGGTGGTTGGTGGTCCAAAATAGAGGCCATTCAGATTCCAGGTATATATATATATATTATGTGATGATCAAGGAGATGACTTGAGAAGATGTTGGTATTCTCCCTGTGAATGTTTGCTTGGATCATCGTACAATCCTCCAAACTCTCCGAGATGAAACACAGGGGCATTCTCCTCTGTTCCTTCAGCAACAAGTCACACTCGTCGTTTGAGCTGCAAGTTACACAATAACTCATGTTCAGTGGATTTGCGTAAAACTAGTTTGTCTATACTTGCCCCACCAAAAATAGCACAGTTGTTTCTTCGCCAAGCAGATGTGGTTTAGGTATCTCACTAGTTTGAGAGATCCGTGTTACACTGCGACTCACCAACATGAAAGTTGCTAATTCGTTGGAAGGGGTCATAAGGCTTTAAGGACTATCGTTCTGTCCATGACCCATGGACTGTTGCCAAGAGGTTCAGCGTATGTAGAAAGGGCTCGAATCGTTTTGACGCCTTGAGATTTAAGCGTGCAGAACAAACGGTGGAACTGAGCTTCAAGTTCCAGACATTGGACGACAACATCTACATCATCTAGATGTTCCTAATCCTACATAGGAAAAGTTTTCCAATAGTTGTCCAATAGTTGGTCCTATCTATTCACATAGTTTCACCCCCGACTTTCTGTCCGAACAGTTCCGGATCGGCGATCCGTTCAGTGCTTCACCCTCCGGAGGCTTGTTTGCGGCCTTGGGCGACGTGCTCTCCGCCGAGCCGAAGCCCTTGAAAGTGCCACGGCGTCGGAAGCCACTGCAGCCGGACGCCTGAGATGAGCTACGCAGAGCCGGATGCCGTGTAGGTCGGAGAGGAAGTGGTTGGCCGAGTTGGTCATGCTTGAGCGAATATGTGAGAACTATCAACATGCCATACTAGGGTATATAAATGTATATAATACTGTATGTGTTATGTATACCATTGTATATACTCTTATCTTCAAGGGCAAAGTTTAACTTCGTCTTTGATTCGCGGCTGTTCCACTTTCCCAAAATTTGTTTTTTTACACAAGAACCATGTTTTAATGGGTCTCTATCCAAGAGCTTCTGGGCACCGGTGCACTCAAGGACAAGAAGTTCTTGTTCAGGTCCCCTAGGGGCCTGATATCTGTGGTTTTCACTATCTCCTGTGACGCTGGATGTCTTCCTCCAACAGCAGACGATGGAAATGGTAAGATGTAAAACTCTTGGAACCCTTCAAGCCATGTTTGGACCATGTAGTTGTGTTTGGTTTCGCGGCTTCATGGAGAATGCATGATGAATAAACACGCTCATGTGCTGGAACATACCCCAAACCAACACAAAGGAGATAAGTAATCTTCATCTATTTTCAGGTAGGCCGGACCTTCAAAACGTGCCAGGGGTTTGTCTTTGAGGCCAAGGCACTTGATGGTTTTTCATGGACCCAGTTGGGTTGCTGAGATCGTCTGGGTGGCCGTGGCAAAATGGCCAATTTGACCTGCTCAGACCCTTTATGCCTCGTCCCCTGCCGCCGGGCGCCTAGAACTGTGGCCATCCAAGCTTGCTGAATCTGCTCACGGGGCGGCGACGCCCCAGTGGACCACGCATGTTGGTGGATTTGCCAACTGGGATGGGAGGAGGAGAGGGTGATGAAAGATGTGGAGCTCACAGTGTTTGCTGGATTCAGCATAGAGTCCACAATGTAGTTGGGAAGTTATTTTTTGTTCATCAGTATCTTATAGTACTTCAATGTACTTTATAATTGTAGATGTTTGTTGTATTTCGATATATAATATGATATATTATATTATTGTCTGGAGATTCAACAACAATCAAACGAAGCAACAATGGACAAAAGAAATCACATGGAATGGAGATATCACAGGCACGAGACCGTGGTTGATTGTTGAACACCCCTCCGACGTTGTCATGGAGGACATCACAATCACTACGAACACACTGCAAGTTGTCCACCATAATTAGTATTGTTTGATGTTCCGAACACCGGCTATCCCGTGGCCAATCCATGCCATGCACTTCATGTCAGTTTGTGTGCAGGTTAGCCGCCTCATCTCGTGGCTCGTGAGGACCAGAGTTGGAGTACTTGGAGCTTCGAATGTTGGAGTTGCACCTTGCCAAAGCGCGCAGCGGGTGAGCAGCCAGCGCGCAGCGGGCACGGCGGACTAGCAGCGCCCGTTTTTGTGGTGTTCTGGTAGTCAGCAGTCAAAAAGAAGTGGTGTTGCGAGAAGCTGGTTTGGTAGCGTGGATTGCCCGTGGATGAAGTGACAATAGCCCGGCCAGCCTTGGGCCTTCACAAAGGAAACAGTCTTGAGGAACACCTTTCTGTCAAACAAAGAACGCCGTTATCCCGAAAGGGAAAGCAGTTCATCCAAGATCCGAAGAGGAGGCCTGCATCACATCGTGAGGAAGGCAAGTTTGTAGGTCCTGCCATCGTTCTTTTGTTGGTTTTGCAAAGGCCCGCGTGATCTCATGTGTTCTTCTGACCGATGGGAAGGTATGCTGCTGATCAGTAACATAGAGAACATGGACCTGTTTCCAAGACAAGTTGCGTCGTACGTTCACAAAGGTCCAATGTGTCTTTTAGTGCCAGTGTTAAGATGTTTCAGGCCCCTGTAGTGGCACATATGGGATATATCAATATATAGTGATCCCCCAGATAGATCAGTGGCACGGTTTCCAATGCATTTTTCGGTGGGGATCTACTAACCGTACTGACTTCTATCTATGAGAGGGGGTCGAACAAACATGCGAAAAATGGCTCTTCATCCTTGGCAGGTCCATTTGACCCTCCGTCCATTTGACTCTTCGGGGCCTTCATCGATCAGGTCACCGGTGTCCCGAGGGTCGTCCAGGGTCCCGCACTCCTCGGTGTTGGGGGCACCATCTCCAGGGTTTGAAGGGTGAAGCTCTGCAAAAGTTTGGAGTGGGTTATAATTACTACAGTGGGGTGTAGAGGGACCTACAAATAGGTCAAGAACTCTTTTCCATGGATTGTTTAGCACATCTTTAGCATGTTCTTGCCCGATTCTTGCAGCAGTGCTGTGCTTTTTCTGGCTTTGTGCATCAACCCGACCAGTCCCTCCACTTGCCATGCGATGCGATGCTTCGGCGTCTCAGCGTGCATCACTCACCTAGGCAAGGCATCGCAGATCTCATGGTGGTGGCGGAGTCTGGCTTCACCTTCCGCGGCGACGCCAAGCCGCGACTCTTTCAGAGAAATCGCCAGCGCTTCCAGGCTCCGTCCCGGGATGGCTCCGTCGGATTTGCAGAGAAGAATGGGTACCAGCTTCTTCAAAGTGACCTTTTTGGAGTCTCCAAGTGACCTGTTACAGGCCTAAGTGACCTCAAACCCAAAAATAGAAAGAGGCATGGGTGAAGAAATGGGACTGTCCGTGCCTGGCGCAACCGTGACTGTCACTGACTGTGTGTCACCTCATGGAGTCTCAGTCGTGCGGCCGGAAACATCCCCGACTCTACGCTCTCCCAGCTCAGTCTTGCCTGGACCCCACCAGTCATATGCTCCAAACAGTGAGAACAGCATGCAGAGCACCGACATGAGCAAAAGCAGCGAACTGTTCATGACGAGCTTGCAAAGCAGTTGTTCTTTTGCCGTCGATTATTCGCCCTAAAAGAATGGGTGATTTGTTGTTGCATGTGTCTTGCAGAGATACATTACACAGTTGAATATGCATGTAACACCGCGTCGTGCGTAGGTAACAGGAGGGGTGTCGTCGATGGTTGGACAGATTGTTACGGTATGTAATAGTTATCCGATTATCCTTCGGAAGATGAGATGTAGCAATCTGTGGCCTGATGTCATTGACACAAAGTCCATGTGATGAAACGCTGGCCTCTACAGCCTCTACAGATGAAACACATGGGCCTCACAGGGAGCTCACGCAACTGTTGGGCCTTCGCATCATCAGACATGGAGCCTTCGCCCATGGAGCGAGTCATCTGTCTTCAGTGGAGTCGCCCATGCGATGAAGCCTTCGTGGAGCCCAGTCAGTGGATGAACCCCGCGATCGTCATGAGACCATAGCTCAAAGACCAGTGGTGCGACTCTTTGTTCAAATGGATGTGGAAACTGTCCCACCTCAAATGACCCTTGAGAGGTTTTAAAATGACCGAACAAGGAACACATCACTTTCATGAAGGTGCTAAGGTGTGCGCACGGTGCCAGGGATGCCAATGGTTGGGGCCTTTTTCTCGTGGAGCTGCATGAGACCCAGGGAGACTCAGGACAGTCAGGGTCCACAGGACTGAGTCTGGGTTGGTAGATTAGGATGATGAATCCTTGGCGATCATCGTTAACCAGGGTTATATTGAGATCTAGTTACTAAGTAGTTTAGTGTGGGAACTTATTGGTCAGTCATAGGTACTTTACAATATACTGGAGACGCAATGGCGTACAGAGGGCAGCTGAGAACACTGAGAGCTGCAGGCGTTTGAGAACACCACGCTTTACCTGGATATGGAACGATGCTCCTGGGCTGAAAGGAACGCACCAAGCAGGGATGATAGCAAACATACTGATACCTCAAACCCACTTAGACAGAAGTTGTTTTTCATGATCAGGGTGATTTGGGGGGGTTGTGTACAGGTAGGTTTGACCTATCTCCCGAGCACAACTCCAATAGGGTAGTAGCTTTGACCTCCCTAAGTCAGCTTCTCTTTCCCTACAAGTTCAGTCTGACATAGTAAAACCTGGTCTTTAACCTCCTTAAGTATTGGTTTTGTATGATCATTTCCAGTAAAATGAGGCCTTTGAGGCCTTGGGCCTAGGGTTTTATTGCTTGGCAGCTGACCGGCCGACGCTCGGCCTTTCTGTCGATCGGTTTCGTCGGTCCGGTCGTGTCTCAGGTTCCAACTACCTCAAAGCCATCAACGAGACTCGTGCTCAACATGGCCAAAAACAGGCCGCTGGACGGACGGACTAGACGCTCGGCAGGTCCGATCATAGATCTGTCGGACTAGAAGGAGCATGGAATCCGATTTGGTTAGAGAAAAAGACCCGGAGCACCTGAAAATGCTGGAGATCCACAAGCCTTCTATTTGTCCTACATTCCAAAACTCTATGTGGTGTTGTGTCCTGGGCCGCTTCTAGACGTCTTGTTCAAACAATTTGGTACCCACTGTCGTCCGGTGCATGTGCACGCATTTTGCGCATGTTGCACCGTCCAAGTTCAGGAAGATTTGCATAGACTCATTCATGGACTGGGCGGACTGGGCATGACTGCTGTTTGGGAGGCTCCAGAACCCATTCTGATCATTCTGGATCAGGGTGAACCCTGGTCACCACTCAAAGTTCACTACAGAAACAGAACAATTTGCATGGTTTGTATTGCTCGGTTCATCAGGCCAAATATATTAAATCCGTTAAATCCAGGTGAAGCGAGTATAGATTGCAGATGTGATCATCTTTCCATGTTGGGTTTCCCACCATGTTTTTTTGTCCTAGGAATCCAGTCGTACCTTCTCAGAAGGTACGACTGGACCCTCCTGGCACCTACATAACAGTGTCTCCAATCACCTGAGAAGGCACTTGGATCCCTAGATATCCCTAGGGTTTTGTGAGGACCCACCCGTGTTACCCCTTGGAGCGGTGATCACCTCGCGGACCTCGCAGACCCAGGTGTTTTGGGCGATCGAGACCCGGCAGAGGCCGGGGGGACGGAGGCAGGACACCCGGGGCCTCTGTGCTGCAAAGGTGTTCGATGGTTGGAGAGCAATACGTATACCATCGTATACTCACCCAGTCTAGTGGTCCAAGATCGGAAGAGGGAGCCCTTCCGAAAACAGATTTATTGTTGAGCTCGTTTCGATCCATCATTGGGCTACTAGGATGCTGAGGCTGACTGGGCCATGGCTGAAGGCCAAGTCTACCATTAGTGGCTCACGCTGTTTTCGTTGGCGCTTCTCGGCTTCACTGTGTTTTTGGAGTGAACAAATCCCAGTCACAGTCGATTCCAGACAGCTTTTGGGGGGGAAGCCTTTGGTCTCTCAGGATGCGAATCATGCGAATCCTAGTCCAGTCCAAGTGGTCAATCATGTCCAGAAGCAATGCCTTCAGGCGGTTTCACTTGTTTCACGCCTCAAAGACGGCGCCCCTCTTGGACGTTTGGGACCTAGATTCAAAGAGTTAAGAGGCACGTTCGCATCCTCAACCTCCACACCGGCTCTTTCCACCGCCCGGTTCCAAGAACTCCAGTCTGGTGGGCCCATCTCTGCGACTTTGCGAGCTGGTGTGCATTGTATGTACCAGCATGTATAGTTCTTTGCGCATTGGTGCTACCCAGTTGGATCCTCATCCAATGGGTTTTAGTGATGTCTAATTTCGGATGCAGCATTCATTGCCGAGATTTGCCAAGCCCATATGGCCATGGGATATAAAGCTTAACAAGAATGTAGAACCTCACTGGAGTGACCAGGAGACTTCCCCAGTTACTGAAACGACTCGGTGGCTCGTGGAGAAAGGACAGAAAAACATACAGCACCCCAACAAAGTGAAGCGATGAAGCGGATGAAGAGAGGACCAGTAAGCAACATTCTGCACATGGGCCACTTGGAGAAGACCAGTGCGCAACTGGGTAGGCTATTTTACAGCTTTCGCCATGGCCTGTGTGGCGACTTTGAATGGCTTCTTCCGAGAGGAAGTGCCTTGGCCTTGCATCGAAAAGGGACATAGATTTGGGAGAGCCCGCAACCAGCGAGTGTTAGTCTATTTGTCCTTTTCCCGAGTTCTTTGGTAGGTCTTCCTACTTTTTTTCCGTAGGTAGCCATAATAGCCTCTCTGCGACATGGCACGGCTGTAGGCTGTTTGTTTTATAAGCCTTTGATCCGGGAGATACACACGCTTTTGTTTGATCCCTCTCCACATCCATCGCTCTTCACGCATCTTGACCACGTCATGCGTCGATCTTCACCACGGGGAGCGAGCCTACCACATGGACCCTCATCGACCACATGATGCACGTCTTTTTGACGGTGTACAGTCTACAGTGTACAGCAAAAGGTGGCAACTATAGGCCAAAAAAAGGCTTCTTTCACAAGGGAGCGCTGTGACAAACAAGGTGCTGATTGTGATGATGTTTGTCGCGGACACCCAAGCAGCATCAGGAATATCAGTATACAGTATCGGCTTAAAAAAAAAGGTGGTTGTTCTTGTTTGTATCAGCATCAAGAACATAGTGGTTGCAGACAATGCATTCAAATGACCTCCCAATCCCCAGGTTTTGAGAAAGTCGAGAAAGTCACCAACTTCACATACTCCTTGATAAATACAGACACTCCACAACAATATACCAGCACCCTCACTGCCAGGTCACCTCCTGCGACTTTTTGAAGTCTGCAAGAGCCATCATGTTGGAGACCTGTGGCGTCGGGTGTTGGTAGTAAGTCCAGTAGCAACTCCTTTTTGTAAGTTCTTCTTGATAATATGTACATCGCTGAGAACCACCGGACCTGCATGAGCTCTAAGGTGGAACAGGCGCCAGGGCAACCGTTCTTCGTCGACTTCGGCTTCTGGGCAGCGTTGATAGGGACTCTGAGTGTTGAAGAGTTATCACACCAGAATGATGGTGAAGAGACCCTGGGGCTCCTGGCCTATCTCCGTTTCGGTGTCGCTGGCTTGGGATTGGCATGCGGGCCGCCTTCTTGGCTGCGAGGGTCCAGCGGGTCGCTCAGGTTGCTTCACGGGCTTGAACGCCTGCCTCTCCTATTTCTGCTGGCCGCCCTGTTCGGAGCGCTGCCGGAAGACCTTCCGAACCATGAGGCCCTTGGACCGCCGAGGTTCCCCAAAAACCTTTGAGCCTAGCGACTGTGAAGAGCTCACCACCGGAGGTACACAGGCCTTGCAGGTGTATGTCATCTCACAACCAAAGCCGGTCTTTTTTGAAGTGCCATCGCACTCCTCACTCCTTCTTCGCGCCAGTAAGCAGACCTCGGTGCCGGTGACCATCCATGATGCCCGGCAGAAGGAGCAAGAGGCGCGGCATGCCACTGCCGTGTCACGTGAGCGCCACTGCCGTAGAGGGTCCTGCGGCTGTGCTGTCGTCGGGGTGGGTGCTGTGAGGTGAAGCTTCTCGAGGGATGAGACGTTCGAGGGTTTTCGAGGAGCCAAATCGAGGTTTCGAGACACAGAGAGAAGATGAAAGAGGGAAATGGAAAGAGATCGAGGACACAGGGAGAAGAGAGAACCACCGAGGACATTGAAAGGGAAGGCAAGGCAGTATACGTGGAGGTCTGCAACATATTGCAAAGTTGCCATGAACATCATGGTGTGGAACCTGGAACAGAGGCTGAGGTATATCGAATCGAGATTCACGTGCCTCTCAACCCTGGCATGTTGGTACCGTGGACCTTGGTGGTTGGTGGGTTCACGTGTTTGTTACATGTTCCATCTCTACCGTGGAATGACTCCGACATCTGTTCTTCGTCGACCGGGTCCCGGTTCGTCGTCGTTTCCATGACTGCGCTGCGCTGCTCGCGGTTCCCAAAACGGACGTCGGTTCCGTCGGTGGGGACGGTGTCACCCACTCGAAGCCAGGAAGGCTTGAGCAAGCGAGCTTTTTTCGAGCGCTGCTTTGGCCGAGATGGGATGGGAGCAGGTTCCGGTCGGGGTCACACCAGGTGCCTTGGAAGCCGAGAAGGGCTTCCAGAAGTACTGAGAATCTAATCCTTCAAAACATCTATAATAGAAACGTCTATATACTATATAGAAAAACCACTCCTCCTAGAAGGGATTCATGAATTGACGATCTGCGGTGCCTGGCAAGGGATTTTTCTCAATGGACCATGGAGCCAAGAGGAGCGGGAATGACGCCCAGTCTATCTCATCAAGATGTTGATCTGACCAGAAGGCCTACACTCCCGAGTCAACTCACATGGACCCTGGCCCCCTGGAAGAGTGACCAATCAACTTGGCGACCTCAGGGTCCATGTGGGTTGTCTTCCAGGGAGCTGGTCGGAGACCAGTCTTGAAGTTTGCTTTGACCAGCTCGGACCATGCAGACCACCATGCTTTCGGCCGACCGTCCAGCACGGTCCGGTGAGGGTTGATGTGGATGGGGGTCGCACATGAGTGGGTTGATGTGGATGTGTTGCACAACGGTTGATGGGGCGGAGAGAAACACGTTTATTCCGTGGACTGTGTCGTAATACTTAGCTATCGAACTCATCATGGAAGTGGGAAAACCCCCGTGTTTGTAGAGAGAAATGGATAAATGGGTCATGTCTGGGCCATGCTCATCCATGTTGCACTTCCATGATCTTCCATCAATATGAGTGTAGTAGGTGCAACAATCATTATACACCTTACAGCCGTGTCTTCAGGGTTCACCTTCTTGACAGGGACTTTGGGTTGGTTGGGGTCCAGCTGATGGGCCACTCGAAAAGAAGAGCCTCTTCTAGAAATCCGCCATGCGTCTCTTCATGTTCATGTTCCCTTCACGAGGAAGATTTGGAGGATTCCTATATGGTCCAGAGCCATGTCATGTGATAGTCGGGGAACTCTTACAAGTCCACCCTGGCAAATCGAGCAGATGAAAGCACTCACGATCCCCTTACCGTCCAAGCCGAACAGCGGACCAGCGGACCAGCGGACCGGCGGACCGGACCAGCGGACCGGCGAACCGGCGGACCAGCGACCAGCGGACCAGCGGACCAGCGGACCCGCGGACCGGCGAACCGGCGGACCGGCGGACCGGCGGACCAGCGGACCGGCGGACCGGCGGACCAGCGGACCAGCGACCGGCGAACCGGCGAACCGGCGGACCAGCGGACCAGCGGACCGGCGGACCAGCGGACCGGCGGACTGGGGCGGACACGCGGACCGGCGGACCGGCGGACCAGCGGACCGGCGGACCAGCAGGCTGGCGAACCAGCTTCGGCGGACCAGCGGAGCAGCGACCAGCGGACGAGCGGACCAGCAGTGCAGGCAACGACCAGCGGATAGCGGCTAAGCGGACCAGCGGGCGTCAGCACTTGACATAGAGTCCCACCCTTCCCACCCTTGCCTGCGCCACTAACAGGCCAGCGGACCAGCGGAGATAATAATGGTGGTGGTGATGGGTGTTTTGGTTGTTGTTCTTGTTGTTTTTGCTGCTACTACTGTTTCAGCCCGGGACACTCAATGCGTCCTTGGTCAGGCTTCGCCTTGCTGCTTCGCCGCTTGGCATTTGGAGGCGCGGTGGGAGTTTCGTCTGGCTGTACTAATGAAGTCAATCGCTTTGCCAACAGCTTGCTGCCTGTGTCGCCCATGGCATGAGCCTTTTCACTTGGCCGCATCGTCTTCTTTCATCCTCAAGCTGCTGGCCTTGTCTCTTGATTTCTTTCATCGGCGCATGATTGCAACCGCGGTCGAAAACATGACTTGCAAACATCTACCGTGCTTCTGCTTTTGAACCAGCATGCAAGTATGCAAGTTGCCGATTGCAAGCGCGAGACCCGCAAGCCACCCTGCTATCAGCAAACATCAATCTAGCTTTTTCTTTTTTCATGCAGCTGCAATGACGAATCCACAGCATCAGTGCCATGGGGTCCTTGCGCAAGCCATTTGTGACGCGGACCCGGCTGCGCAAATTTCGCCAGAACTAGTCCATCATTTGGCGACCAGATTAGAACCGCTCTTCAACCAAAGGGTTGCTGTTTTCGGCCGGGAAAGCAAAGCTCAAGAATTG